ATATATACATATATATTTTTTTAAGGTTCTCAAAAATATGGCCAAAAGTTGAAACAACAATCAAATGCGAATATGCAATGCATCATTTTAAAAAATAATTGCTAGATTCATTATCATTATTTTTTAAGTTGGCTGCCAAATTGATCTTTAACGAATATTATTATAACTAGAGAAAGATGTGTACTCTAATCTAAAATGAAAGAGTTAAACTTGCTTTGATCTTAAACTAGCTTTAAGAAATATCATAACAAAAGAAATGCCAACAAATGAAATGTCAGCTGAGTATAGCATCTAATGAGGAACGGAGTATTGTTAGAATGAGTTCTGCAAAGTCTTAAAGATTTATTCGGAAAGCTAAATAAGTATTTAAGCACTTAGGGTTTAGGCTAAGCTTACCAATACTTTCGTATAAAGAAGTTGACCTTGATATTTATAAATTGAAATATTATATATGCATGGAGTTGAAATATATAGTTGATTTACTATCCCAAGCTAAACCTTCTCCAAAGTCACAAATCTTGAATGCAAAGCAACAATCAATTCATTGACAGTCCATATTTATACGCAAAAAATCCAACGAACCCACCGTACTCATTATCTACAGAGTATTTCAAGATGAGACAGCATGGGTAATGCGTTAATTTATGGTCGCAAGATAAACAACGAGCAGACCAAAGCAATTGAACGTGAGCTGGGTGCGCTGGTGGGCAGTGGAGAGTGGGTGATGGAAGGTGGGGTGAGGGTAGTGAGCAGCAGGCGACAAATGATTTAAAGGCTTTGGTCAAGTATAAAACGTGTGGCCACTAAAACGCAATTACTTAAGAGTCACGACGAACAATGCCATGGCTCGACAAGTAGCCAATGGGCCAATATCTATTGCTGGCAATTGGCCAACAACAACAAAAAATAGAAAACGTTTTTTTTTCTGTCTTTCGGTTTTGTTATTAAATATTTGATGCTGTCGAGACGCGCGACAGGCGTCACATAATAAAATTGTAAAACACGAAATTTTATTGAGCTGCGAGCGAGCGCACTTAAGTTCGGCAAGAACGTGGCCAAATGGCCGGCAAAGTGAATTTTTATGCCACCCAAAACGCAGCATGCGACACGTTGCATGCAGCAAGCAGCGGCAACTGGGGCAGCAGCCACTGAGCTGAGCAGCTGCGTCTGTGGCACAGCTCAGCTCAATGTTGGCCTGTGCCACGTTGTCAACGTATTTTTAAACTAATTTGCCAACTGGGAGCCTTTCATTTGGCCAAAATATAGCTCTTTCTCCCTCTGTTTTCGTTTTGGCATGCAGCTAGTTGAGCCGTAAATTATTTTAGCATTTCATTTTAAGACTCGTAAACTGGCCGAAGAGTTGCCTAAAAGTTGGCCAATTCAATTCAATTACAATTTGCATTCAAATTTTTAAGATACACCAGAGCGTGTATATATAATTGAATAAGGGTATTCCCTAGTTGCAGTTTAATTTAATATCATTGCAGTGAAGCTGATAGCTGCTGAAACAAAGTGCCTAAATGATTTAACTAAACTAATGGAGATATTGAGAAAAAGCTATCCAAAACGAACTTTTGGCATGTTTACTTTGATCAAAAAATATTTTAAAATATATAAAGAAAGATCTATATATATTTCGCTTAATAATTCCCATACTTATACATAAATTTAAGTAATTAAATTATCAAAAATTTGCTACAGGATTTATAAGGCCAATGAACAGAGAGAGAGGATGAGGTGCATCAACGAGTCATACCGAATCTATCGATATATGTATATACAATTATTTTATAGCACTACAATAATACAATTTATGAGCTGTGGAAGGCTAATTGGTTTTTATACTCTCCTTCAAATTGCATTTTGATTTTCTTCCCTTGCTGACATTCTCCGGCGCTTTGATGATAATACAGTCAAGTCTTAATAATCTATAAGCCCCCGAATTCGGAATTTGCGATAAATCGATAGAGAACAATTTTTACCACAGCGGCGTTTTACATTATGAAATCACTTGATTATAAGAGCATTTCATATAATTTGTCATGGAATATAAGTCAGCTGCAGTTTGAAAATCATTTTTAAGTTGCTTGCCGACATGATTCACTTCAATGAAATTTAGTCAACTGAATTCAGTCAACTAACGAATAAAACTCCAGTTTAAGTCTTTAATTGCTGTTTACGTCTAATTCAAATCTTAAGTTTACGCTGATAAGCTCAGCACTTTGAAATAGCTCAAGACCAGCATTTACTGAATCAACCTACATACTATGTTATATTATATTATATTAAGCCTAGTCATACAAAAACTTTATGTGCTGTTAGCAAAAAAAAAAATACAAATAAACCAAATTTATAAAAATTATCAATATATCAATTTTTGTATTAAAAACCTAATTTCTTTTTTCTTAGTTTTTATTTTCTATTTTAAATTTGAACCGAATCAAATCCAAACTCAAACTTGATTCATTATTGGTAAAGTCTAGAGCTTTAATGTGCTTTAAAGCTTGGGTTGATTTCAGTGCTGCGAAAGCTTCTCGCACTGATATTTTTCAGCGGTAGCCAAACAAAATGAATTCGTGTTTAAAAATATTTAATGAGAGAAACTTTACTTCAGTATTTTA